CTGGAAGCTGGTTCCACAGGAGAGGAGCTTGGTAACTGAAGGCTCTGGCTCCTGTTCTACTTTTTGAGACTATAGGAACCACAAGTAGCCCAGCATTCAGAGAACGCAGTGTTCTAGAGGGGTAATAGGGTACTATGAGCTCTTTAAGATATGAAGGGGCCTGACCATGAAGAGCTTTGTAGGTGAGGAGGAGGATTTTAAATTATATTCTAAATTTTACAGGGAGCCAGTGCAGAGAATCTAGTACAGGAGAGATGTGATCTCTTTTTCTAGTTCCTGTCAGTAGTCGTGCTGCAGCGTTCTGAATTAATTGGAGCGTCTTAATGGATTTATTGGGGCAGCCTGATAATAACGAATTGCAGTAATCCAGCCTAGAAGTAACAAATGCATGGATTAGTTTTTCTGCATCCGTCTGTGACAGGATGTGTCTAATTTTTGTAATATTACGTAAATTCAATTCAATTCAATTTTATTTGTATAGCGCCAATTCATAACAGAAGTTATCTCAGGACACTTTTCAAATAGAGCAGGTCTAGACCGAACTCTTTATAACATTATTTACAGAGACCCAACAGTACCACCATGAGCAAGCACTTGGCGACAAGGGCAAGGAAAAACTGCCTGTTAAAAGGCAGAAACCTAGGACAGATCCTCCGGCTCTAGGTGGGTGGTCGTCTGTCACGACCAGTTGGGGTGAGAGAGAGAGAGAGAGAGAGAGAGGCAGAGAGAGAGAGAGAGAGAGAGAGAGAGAGAGAGAGAGACAGACAGACAGGTGCACAGCAACAACAGTATTGGCAATAGCAATCTAGCAGGACCATGGCAGGAGGCTCCACCAGGATCGACAAGAACCTGCAAGACGAGAAAGCCCAAGAACTCCGGGGAAGAAGTGAATGAAAGAAGGCAGTCCTAGAGGTCTGCTTTATGTGGTTAGATAATTGATTAAATTCATCGGGCTTGATCGATAGATATAACTGTGTATCATCTGCATAGCAATGAAAGTTAATGGAGTGATTCCTAATAATTTTGCCTAAAGGTAGCATATATAAAGTAAATAGTATTAGTCCAAGTACAGAACCTTGTGGAACTCCATGACTAACTGTAGTATTTATGGAAGATTCATCGTTAACATGTACAAACTGAGAACGATCTGATAAGTATGACCTAAACCAGCTTAGTGCGGCTCCTTTAATGCCAATTTAATGCTCAAGTCTCTGTAAAAGAATATCATGGTCACTGGTGTCAAATGCAGCACTAAGATCTAATAATACAAGTACAGAGACAAGTCCATTGTCGGAAGCAATCAAAAGGTCATTATTAACTTTAAGCAGAGCTGTTTCTGTGCTGTGATGAACTCTAAATCCTGACTGAAAATCCTCAAATAAGCTGTTGTTATGTAAAAAGTCACACAAGTGTTTGGCGACTACTTTCTCCAGAATCTTAGAGAGGAAGGGGAGGTAACAAATCGGTCTATAGTTGGCTAAAACCCCTGCGATGCGGCACAAAGTACTGAAGTTGGGGGTTTCACATCACTATAATGTCTTTTGGGGTGAGGGGGATGAATATTTCTGATTGCAACTGTACATCATATGTATAAGTATGTTGTAGACATACATGGACCATATGTACATACTGTATGTAGCAACAGCAAGCACAGTTTTCAGAAAACTTGGCTAATGTTAGCAAAAGTGGCACCGGAATTGTGTAAAGTTATTAATGCTGCCTTAGTTGAGAAGTAAATTAGTTTTAAATTAGAGAATGCATCATTTAACACAATGTATTTTCTGGAGCTGATGATGGAAGTGTCCTTCTCATCTCTGTTGAGAGTTACACATGTGCAGTACCAAACTGGCAGAAGGTACGGATTGGGTACTGACACCAATGTTAGCAAAAGACTAGCTAACTAGCTAGCTAATTTACATCAGTCGTTAGTTAGCTAGTTTGGTAGCACTTTTTAACATTAACTAGCTAACTGAAGTTGTGACTTTTAATGTTCTTTTTATCTTTTAACCATCTTCAGAATGTGGATGCCTCTTCAACATAGATTAGCCATAGCATTTCTAAGTACAGGAAAGGAGAAAGGTGACGCTGGCTCCACAGGAACGGCCATTTTAGGGGTTTTGATTATGGTAATATACGGGTGGTACTCATCAAGTTAAATGATGGTAGCACCAGAGGAATGTGCCTATCCCTCATGTTAATATATGTGTGTGTGTGTTCAGATGGCCTGTATCAGTGATAACCCCTGCTGTGGTGGAGGCTGTGTGCGGCTGCCTGCTGGCCCAGTCTGAGGAGGCTGAGGGGGAGGCCCAGAGCCCCAGCCAGGCTGAGCATATGGTCCTGGATGAGTTTGGACACTGTCTCACGCAGATTGTCAAGGCCATGTTCAAGTATGATATATTCTGATACTTCGGAATAACACTGTGGAGACCTGACCTGGTTAGGATCTAAGAAAAACAGCCGTACCACATGGATGTTTGAATTCATGCAGGGGGGGTTGGCATATTACTAACGATTGTTGATTTTCCTTTTAATCTGGGCAGTTTGAAGGCTGTCACATGACAGCAGTGATAAACAAAACAATCACCAAAGCCCATGCAAAATGCTTTAATTTAACATCTGTATTAGTTCATTCACAGTGTTTAAGTTCTACATGTTCTTAGAAAGCTTTACTGGTTAATGTGATGTCCATACTGGTGTGCTCAGGAGTGGGGTGGTTTCTGATATTATTGTTCTGCTGTCAATACTGGACAAACATAGTTCCGAGGTATTATTCTGAATGTAACATTATTTGATTGCATGGTTTCTTCAGAGCAATGTTGCTGTTCTGCTTTGTATTTAAAGCTGCAGTAGGTAACTTTTATTAATAATAAAAAATAACTTTTTGTCATATTTGCTGAAACTTTCACTACACAGATTATCTGTCTTATGTATTACTGTCAGGATATAGTGAAAGCAAATATGACTAAAAGTTATTTAAAAGTTACCTACTGCAGCTTTCAAGCTGTTCAGATGCAGTGTAATTGAACAGTTTAAGTGTTTAAATACAATTAATACTGTAAAACATTGTTATATGTCATAGCCCTTTGTAGGGTGTCCGTCCCATTGTATGTATTGTCCCATTTTGGACTTTTAAAGTACATTAATTTATTTATTTATTTGCTTTAAGATCAGACTTGAGACTAATTGAATTTATGAACAGGCCGAACAGGTTCCAAAATAAAAGTAATATTTATCTGGTGTTTCTGTGGTCTTTAAAGGTACTGGAGGTAGAGAATTCTTTTTGGTAGTAACCAGTACATCTTAACAGACTAAATATAGGCTGATTGTGCTAGACCACAGGAGCTCTTTTTAAAATGTAAGTGTCCCCTGCGTCCAGAGAAAAAAGGCCTTTAATTATTTGGATTTGTCATATTTTATTAATTCAACTGTTTTTGTGTACAGTGTATTTCCCAACATGAAAGTCTAATGCTGTTTTTAAAAGAAACTCAACACTGCTTGGAAGAAATCTCCCTTGGAAACACTTTTTAAATTTTTGGTCTAAAAGTAGTCAAATTTTAAAGAGTTGAGTCTATAATATACTGGAATTTCTCTATAATATATCCACCAAGCATTATTTTTTATGTTGTAAAGTGTAAAGGTTGCTTTCTCTAAAAACAAGTCCAGTGGTCGTAATAAAATAAAATTAATCGGTAATTAAAGTAGATGCTGATTGATTTAATAGTTGACAACTAATCAATTAGAACCAGTGTGTATAATTTAGTTGCATCTAGCAGTAAAGTTGCAGATTGCAACCATTTATACAGCTCAGCCTTCCAAGTGTGTAGGAGAAACTACAGTGGCTGTGAAAGTCTCAAAAATTGTTAAAGGGCCTATCTAGAGTCAGTGTTTGATTTTCTGGGTTACTGTAGAAACATGGTGCCCTCAATGGAGGACCCGCTCCCTCTGTGGACAAAAACGGTTAATTCCAAGGTAACAAAAACACAATGCTTATTTTCTGCTAATAGATCCTCCCAAATGTTACATACTGAACCTTTAATAGTGATGTCTCTATATGACCAACATAAACAAACAGACATGCCTGCCACTGGAATGGATTCCCCTTAAAATCAATTAAACAGTATGTTTGTGATTAAATCACCACCCCTTAAAGTCTCCATGCCACCCTTTGTACACTCCATGAATATTTCTCTAGACCCAGCCCTGGAGTGAAGTCACTGTCTCTCTTTCTGGGTCCTCTGCTGAGAGTGGAAAGTCAAGTATGGATGCCACTGTGCATGTGCATAAATAAAGGAACACTTCAAGATAGACACAGAAGTAATTTGAAAGTCCAATCTGAAATAAAACCTGTATGGAGCATGCTTTGCAATCCACTGTTAAATGAAAATACTGCTGATATACAATGGTGTATTCTAATGCTTTTGTATCCGTGTTAAATCCCACTGTCAGGACAGACCATATTGCACTGTTTTCTAGATTCATATATTTATTTGGTACAGTAAGTACATCACTGACATCTTTGGGAGAACATTTGACTGAACTGATGTTCATATTTGTTTTTTCTTATGCGGGGAAAAAAGCTGCTGAATTTCCTTGTTTTGGTCAGATATGTCATTTTTATTAGTTTCCAAGACCAGTTACAGAACGAATATTGTTAGAATATAAATATTAGAATATAAACAATTTTTTGTATTGTAATCTGTGATTGACTTTGCTGCAAATTATTGTAAATGTAGATTTCTTTCTGAATAAATGATTGTTTGAAAACTCGAACACTCTTATATATCAGTTTTTATAGTTATTTTAAAGACCCCCACAAAGCTCAGATTGAAGTGACTCCTCTTCTGCGGAGGCCGCTATATTGAACCGCTGTCTTTCTACAGTAGCACAGAACAGACAAACTACACACTAGTCTAGATAGGGCCTTCTGCACTTTGTGTCAGTTTCGTGGCCTACAACTACACACTGGTCTTTAAATATTTTAGTTTATTGTACTCACATGTACCCTCCAAGGAATATGGGGGGTAAAAAGCTACCTCAGGCCCACTAACAACTTAATCCAGTCATGTGGACCTTTGCATTTCTATAAATCAGTCCCTCCAGGAAGTTGCAATGTTGTGATTGGAACAGTTAAGACAAATTTTAACCAATCCCAATGAATTCTGTGCGACTTTGCAATTTTGTCCAATCACTGCAACTTTTCCGCAAATTTGAGCGATTATTGTAGTCTCCTGAGAGTTTCACCAATCATAGCAGTCCCCTTGCAAAATGTTGAACCATACGTCACCCAGCTGCTAGCGATTCTATTCTCACTGGAACAAGTTGCCTTCTATTTTTATGAACTACTACACTACTAAAATGTCTCTTAGGTTGACACAGAGGCCACAATTTGACCAATCGTAGTTTCCTGCACAAAACGTCGAGCCATACGTCACCAAACTCACTTCTTCGTTTCTAGTTGTATAGATGCAGACATGTCTCACATTCACCCTCCCACTGGAACAAGGTGCCTTCTATTTTAAAACAATTATACAAGAAAAAACCGCAACTATCCCAAAAAAAGCCCACAAAGTCCTGGAGGGACTTATATATGCAGTCCATGCAAGTACCAAATCCAGTTTATTAGGATGAAGGATGAAGGATGAAGGTGAAGGCTGCTGTGAAGATAATCAGTGATGCTCAGGTGTAAGAACGTTCAGAAATAAGGTAATTTCCTGCTACTGGGAAACCTCTAATGGAAATAAAAACAGCAGCAACATGAAATACCTGTGTGTTACTCACTGGGACAACAGCACACACACAAACACAGCTCCATACTATTGATGTTCCTTGCTACAGATCACGGTTGTGACGTCAGACAGTGTTTTTGAGCTGTTTTTGAGGATCTAGTAAACAGGAGTCCTGCCAGGCCTCACAGGGAGCGGGATCGAACCCGTTACTGCTGCTGATGGGGGATAAAAGCAGCCTGGAACATTGCTCCGAGCCACACACACACATGCTGCGACTGGTCCGGCTGCTCTCACCGTAGCAGATATGGTGAGTGGACACAAGTTTTTACATTCAGTCTAATGTGAGTTTTTTCTTTCAGAACTAATTTTTGATTGTATCTTAAATTAAAGCTAAAAACTAAAATATTAAAATTAACTTTAATTACAGAAAAATACTGTAATTTTAAGAGTCAGTTATTTTTTTGTTAAGTTATAGTATATTTGGTGCTCCAGCTGCTGGAATAATACTGTTTTTTTTACTAATGTTTTTTTTGTACAGTGTATACTAACTAATATTTGAAATGCATTTGTTTAATTTCATTTATGTAAAATTGACCAATGCACTGATGAAAATTCTATTGTTATGTCAGTATTAATATTTACATATTTGAATAACTACTCAGTTAAAATAATTGTATTTACTTACATTGGTATACTGATGCTTACTCATGTTTTGCTGTTAATTATTAATCTACCAATTTATTTAATCATCATTTATCACATATAATATAAAAGACTACAGCTTTAAAATGCTTTTTTTCCCCCTGACAAACAAAACAAAGTAAAGTACTGCAAAACAGTCTACTTAGAGAAGCTGTGACCATCAATATTTGTTTTCACTTGATCAATGACTGCTGAAGCAGCATGCAGCTGTACAAAAGAGAAAAATATACAAAGTAGGCAGTAAAATAATAACATGTTTCAAAAAGGGTAAAAGATAAAATAAATGGAGTGAAGCCTGCGAGCTAGTTCAGGCAGTCAACTCGAGCTGTGCTGCTATGTACACATGACATGCCTCATTCTATAATCACTAACCAAGCACTCCCTTCCAATCTGGCGGTCTATTTAAACTGCCCCATTTCCCAGCTCTCCGTCTGCTCTGTCAATGCCGCGTTGCCTTGGATCACATCGCTGCTGCTCTGTAAGCTATTGCTGCCTGCTGCGCTGTAAGCCCCACCACCACCCCAGCATCCACCTGTAGGCTCTGGCTAGGGTTTAAGGTATTTGCTCATCACTCCCCAATATCTTTACGTAAACATATCTGCGGGGAGTGATGAGGTCGGAGCCTAGACGCCAAAATCTAAATATGTTATACTGCTGTAATAAACATTTCAAACGTGAGTAGGCTGACTGAATTACAGTAATAACCTTGATTTTTGGGAAGGGTTAGCTACAGCTAAGATTACAATTACCATCATCCTCCTAATCCATTAATGTCCACGGTGGAATTTTAGCTGTAAAGTATGAGGCTACAGCAGGAGTCCTTCTTAACATTCTTCACTCAAGTCCCACCAGGATTGAAGCCACATTTATGAAAAATCAAAGGCAACTTGTTCCAGTGAGAATAAAATCTTGAGTAGCTTGGTGTGGTATGGCACAATGTTTTGCACTGGGACTGCTATGATTGGTGAAACTCACACAAAACTAAAAAAAATGTGAAATTTGTGGGTAATATACACCAATCAGCCATAACATTATGAGCACTGACAGGTGAAGTGAATAACACTGATTATCTGGTTATCATGTCAGTGGGTGGGATATATCAGGCAGAAAGTGAACATTAATGATAGAAGCAGGAAAAATGGGCAGCGTGAGGATTTGAGCGACTTTGACAAGGGCTAAATTGTGATGGCTAGCGACCTTGGTCAGAGCATCTCCAAAACTGCAGCCTGCAGCAGAAAATGTGCAGTGACCAGTGTTGGGTCAAATGACTTTGAAATGTAGTTAGTTACTGAATATGAGTTATATGAGTTCGGTCTAGACCTGCTCTATTTGAAAAGTGTCCTGAGATAACTTCTGTTATGAATTGGCGCTATACAAATAAAATTGAATTGAAAATTGAAATGAATTGAATATAAATTACATGGCGACTTTAGGAAATCCAGTGAATTACAAAGAAATGTAATCTAATCTGAATACTTTCGGATTAATTCAAAATCGAACATTGATGGGGCGTCCTGGTGGCTCACCTTGTAGAATCCTTGGTGCACTGACCATGTGTTTGAAACCAGCTTGTGGCCCTTTGCTGCATGTCATCCTCTTTCTCTCTCCCTTTCCTGTCACTCTTCTGCTGTCCTGAAAAAACCAAAATCGTCCCAAAATACCAAAATAGCCCCACCCCCCAAAAAAAGAATCGAACCCTGAAAATATTGCACCTCTTAATATAATAAACACAGCCACAGTTCCACAAATATTCTTTTCTCTATCTTAAAACATTTTTAATGCTAATAAAATTAATTTTAACATATTCAGCATTTACAGTTGGTCAAATAACACCCAATATATTCTGAGATTATTTACATTTTTCCATGTTTGTCCATTGTTATCATGGTTGTTACCCGTCCACTGGCAATCCCATCATGCCTTGGGTTGAGTACATTGACCAGTCAGAGGCTGTGTGGGAGAGAGATGAGATTGACCCCATTCCTCTATCTAGAGTATGTTACCATAAAAAAGTTCCATAATTTTTCAAATTTAATTTAAAGACTTTCTTCTTTTTTGTAATCTGATTATGTCATCCAGATTATATGTAATAATTTACTACCCAACCTTGGCAGTGAGTGATTCCACCACTGTGGAGCCAGAACAGAGAAGAGCCTGATTTGTGTTGTCTGTGTGGTGTTGTTCCAGAAGATAACAGTCACAGTGGTCTGGACGTGTACTTTAGTCGTCTCCCTGTTGGAAGAGTGCTGTCATGCACAGAAGGTAATGCTCACCAGACACTCACATTCTCTATTGGTTTACTGCTCCTCACCCTCTCACCACAGCTGTCATCTCTTTCCCCTCAGCTGAACGTCCATTGGGGTCCTCAGTCCATGATGTACCTGAAGGGCAAACGTGAGTTTGAGCATGAAGCTGACTCTCTGCTGTCACTCTGAACTGAACTAAACTCAATTCACATTTACCCCCTTCATGCAGTCAAGTTCCATATCTGATCCAATTGTATTTGGATCAATATGAGAGAGAGCAAATATGTTGCCTGTGCTGTTACATGAAGCTATAATTAATTTGGTTTATCCTCTTAAACTTTGAAGTTAAAACATTTATTTTCTTAATTTAATTAATCTTAATTTCACCAGCTTTTACCTAAACTTTCAATTCCATCTCTTTATCAGAGGATGGAGATTGCTAATCACATAACCCCATCAGTATCGTTTAAAGGTCCAGTGTGTCACATTTAGGAGGGTCTATTGTTGGAAATGGAATATAATATTCATAGGTATGTTTTGACCTGAAAATAGGAATCATTATGTTTTTGTTACCTTAGAATGAGCTGTTTATGTCTACAGTGGGAGCGGGTCCTCTTCTACAGAGTCTGCCATGTTGAACCACCATGTTCCTACAGTAGTGCAGAATACAAACCGAACACTGGCTCTAGATAGGAGTGTTTGTGTGCTTGTTTCGTGGCCACCATAGTTTCTCCTACACACTTGGAAGGGGAGGGTGAAGATGGCACTAAATCCTACACACTGGATCCTTAAGGGGTGTAAGAAAACCAGTTATTTGTGAAAGATTATTGTTTAAGATCTAAACTTATTTCTAATTTGTATTAGAAAATCCAAAAAGAACAAGCACTGAATTTGTCAAAAAAGAAGTATGTATGATTGTTCAAAATGTATTTAATACCGGTAAGATATACAGAGAATTATATTAAAAGTTCCTAAAAATTGTTATCTACACAAACTTCCTGCAGTTATTGTGTTTACTGTTTGTCTGTTCAATGTACAGTTTATCAGCTGTTCTACTGTTATTGTTATACATTGAATATAAAATTAAATATTTATATCCAGTTTACTGAATTGTAGAAAAGTCTTCCACTAATCGGAAGTTTGTTGGTTCAATCCCCGGCTCCTGGTGCCACATGTCGAAGTATCCTTGAGCAAGATACTGAACCCCGAATTGTTCCCGATGCCGTGCATTGGTGTATGAATGTTAGTTTCTGTTCGATGGACTTTGCCATCACTGAGTGAATGTGTGTGAAAGGGTGAATGTGGCATGTAGTGTAAAAGAGCTTTGAGTGGTCGGAAGACTAGAAAGGCGCTATACAAGTACAGGTCCATTTACCATTTACCGGGAACCCAATTATCCACAGAGGTCTCCTCCTTTCCGAAACAAACAGACCCGCTGATTAAAACCACTAAACACACTGAATAAAGAAGTTCCACCTTAACAATCACTGCTTCTCCCACACTGTTGGACAGACAAAGGACGTCCCGGAGGGGCTGCGAGCCGAGCTGCTGCTAATGTTAAACGTTCAAATCTAGAGTTAAAAATCACCAAGATCTAAACAGTGGATGGTAACAATGTGGCTCCAGACTGGATAAACAGTCGCTGACGTATGCACAAAGGTGATATGACAGTGACAGCGTTACCTGAATAAAATTACAGATTGATTGACAGATGTGAAATCTAGTGTGTCACTGTAATAATTTCAGGTTTGGTTAACAGCAGAAAAATGTATTAGTTTATAATAAAGTATTAAAATTGGTCCACACTAACATTATTATACCTCGGAAACATCTCCAGCAAAACTTAATTTGAACTGTTTTCTGCTGTTCTTATCTTCAGATGGCAGGAGGTTTGTGACAGAGGATGACAGCAGTGTTTTGAAGCAGGGTCTGCAGGGCTTGTATGCAGTGCTCAGAGGTACAGTATGACTTCACTACATCTCAGTCGGTCAATTTCCTTACTTGGCTTTGCTTGCTTAAAGTGTCTCAACCCCTAAATTCTGCTACCTTCATCCCTCTCAGAAAATAAAAAAAAGGAGCAGGTATCACTGGCCAGACTGTTCAGTGTTGCAGAAATATAGCTGCTGGTAGTAAGAGCTAACACAGCAAACCAGCTAACCAGAGTCTGCTGTCAGACTCCGCTGGAGCTTTTACAGTCAATAGTGATGGGTTGGTCACGAACGATCCGGCTGAAGTGAGCGACGGGAGCCGGCTCCGGATTAGGAGCGGGGGGTTGTTACATACACACATGGCACAGTGAGCATGTGAACAGGAGGGAGGGAGACATGAGAGAGCGAGAGAACTTGGGGCTACATAGACAGACCACACACTGGAAAGGTGAGGAACATGAGTGACAGGAACCGTAGTAAAGTTTGGACACATTTTAATGTGATAGACAGTTCAAAGGCAGAGTGTCGACTGTGCAAAGTTCAAATTTCATATTGAGCAGCTTTTTGTCTAATTGAGATGGGTCTTTGTTTTTGTATTTTATAATTTATTTTAGTAACGCTCTGTTCCATGTTGAGTATATTAATAAATCCATATAAATAATAAACATTTGATATAATGCATGTATTTACATTAATAATTCATTTTACACAGAATTTGGTAATAAATTAATTTAAGCAACAAAAAATCTGAGGAGCCACTTGGGAGCCAAAGGAGTCGGCTCTTTTTAGTGAGCCGAGCCAAAAGAACCGGTTCTCTACAAAGAGCCGGAATTCCCATCACTAACAATCAACAGTGGTTGATGACAAAAGTTGCCACCACATCACATGCTTCCAGATCAGCCAATAGCTAAATTCATTTGCAATAGCCCTTTGTTTTTTCTGCAAAGAAAGTATAACTTCTACATAAAAATTCTTTTCTAGAATTCCAGAATCTCTGAATATGCAAATATTATTTAATTCCTAAAGTTTTCCTGCTGGACACAAGATGTCTCTTACTTCACTGTAAAGTCCATTCTCAGTGGATGTGCACTGGTGGCTTCAAGTTTCTACATCACACTGTACAAGTTGATACTGGACAAGCAGTTATTTTGTATGATTGAGTCTCAGCAGCAGCAGGGAGCTGTTTTTAGTGAAATCTCTCTGATCAACCCACTGTACACTACCTGGCCAGCAGCAAACAGCAGACAGACACAGTTAGAGACTAGCTGCTGAACATAGTAGAGCATATAGCAGCTGAATTCTAAGGTCAGGACCCCATGATTCCACTATATCTTTACATAGCTAATAGTTGTATGCTACCATATTAATGTTTTAAATCTTATATAACCTTTTAACACGGTGACCCCAAACACCTTTAATTCATTTAATTCCCACATAAAGTTCTCATAGATCCTAGTGGAGCCTCCTGCCATGGTCCTGCTTGACTGCCATTGCTAATATCACTGATATTATTGTTATTATTATTATTATTATTATTATTATTATTATTGTTATTATTGTATTAATCACTGCTCATTGTCCCCCATCGTTGTTGTTGTCGTCGTTGTCATCATCTTCTTCATGTTCATCATCATCATCAGTCACTACTATTAGTGTAGTTGTTGCTACTGTTGTTGCTGTGCACCTTTGTCTCTGTCTCTGTCCTTCTGTCATTACCTCTGTTCTCTCTCTCTCTCTGTAAATGTTATAAAGAGTTCGGTCTAGACCTGCTCTATTTGAAAAGTGTCCTGAGATAACTTCTGTTATGATTTGGGGCTATACAGGACACTTTTATTATAGTCTAGGCCGTAGTCCTACAGACCCAACTGTTCCCACCGTGAGCGCTATGATTTCACATTCAATGAACATGACATTATATACTTTTGTATTCTTTAATCTAAAAAGAGTGTACTGATGGGCATTATAATGTCAGGTTAGTGCTTTATATTTGATATAAGACTTGTCCTTGTTTGTCTGTGTGTGTGTGTGTGTGTGTGTGTGTGTGTATGTGTGTGTGTGCATGTGTGCATGTGCAGGCATCCAGAAGCAGTCGTGGGGGTTCAGTAAACCTGGTCACATCGTGCGCTCAGATAAAGTCCTCATCCACTACCTCCAGGAGAGATGAGACACACTGACTATCTGCATGTGAACTAAACTAAGAATTCACTGAGAACACGTCCAAAACAACAGACTCCAGATCAGATCCAGCTTCACAGACACTGTACAACCAGACCATCAGCCAGTTATCATGCAAGCTCTGGTTCTGTTGTTACAGTACATGAATAAATATAAATATTTAACTCAGTTAGACAGTTTCTTCAGTGAATTGTTGTCTGCCTCTTTGTATTTTTCATGCATAAATAATATCTGTTTGTTCTCTGTACAGATTTCTGCTTGCTGTATATAAAGCAACAGAAAAACACTAAATGCTCTGTCTTTACATGTTTTTCGTCTCCATCTTTCTGGCTGCAGTGTGTCTTTCTCAGCACCAGAGGACAGCAGTGGACAGCAGAAAACCTATTTTGTACTGAGATGAAAGTAATTTGTGAGGAAAACAGACTGTAGCTTATCTGATTGGATATAGGGAAGTATTACACAAGCAAATATTATACTGTCAGTGTACTTAATCATTAGATATAGTAATTAACCAGATATAATAATGTGGTCAGTGTGATGAATGACACCAAACAACAGTGGATTGTTGAATAAAGAGGTTAAGAAAACAGGCCTACTGCACGTGTTTCAGTCATTCAGGCCCTGTATTTAGCCTGATGAATGCCTGAATGGTTGAAACACATGCATGTTTTTTACTATGACTAAACAGCCATGAGATATTAAAGGCTATTTAAATCACTACACTGTGAACCCTGATGAGTTTGTTCAACTCAAACTGTTTCAGGAAACCAATTGCCTTAAGATGTGTAAGTTTAGTAACTCAAATAATTTAAGCATGAAAGATAATTGATTTGAGTAGAAGTACTACTAGTAGTAATAGTAAACTTACTTAACTTGGGTAAATTAAGTTAATTGTAGAAATTCCATTCAGTTAATTGAGGTAACAGTCATATGCAGCATTTCTCCTGTTCACAGAATTTATCTGAATGAAGTCACTTAAATGTATCTTCTTTATACAAACGTTACCACCAAGTTTAAATTTGCTCAATTTTCTTCCACTAAAGCAAATTATTACATAACCTGTCAAAACAGCTGACGTATAATAAAAACAATTTATAAATAATTGATTATCAAAATGTTAGTTATTTTTTATTTGACTAACATGACATTTTTACACTTTGGGGGATCATTAAGAATTATTTGTATGCATATTATTTGGGCTTATGATGATTAATAGACTGAAATAAAAAAAAAAAATTAAGTTATATAGCTTGCATGCTTACATTTTTTAAAATAATAATAAAAAGTTAACTTTAAGAAAACGAGTCAGTGGAACAAACTGGAATTATATCACCTGTACTTAAGGGCTACTTGTGGTTCCTATAGTCTCTAAAAGTAGAACAGGAGCCAGAGCCTTCAGTTACCAAGCTCCTCTCCTGTGGAACCAGCTTCCAGTTGTGGTTCGGGAGGCAGACACCCTCACCACATTCAAGAGTAGGCTTAAGACATTCCTCTTTGATAAAGCTTATAGTTAGGGCTGGATCAGGTGAGTCCTGAACCATCCCTTAGTTATGCTGCTATAGGCCTAGACATGGGGATTTCCCATGATGCACTGAGCTACTCTCTTCCTCTCTCTTTCTGCACTCATTCATGTTCCATTAATGCATGTTACTAACTTCACTTCCTCCCCGGAGTTCTTGTGCTTTCTCGTCTCGCAGGTTCTTATCGATCCTGGTGGAGCCTCCTGCCATGGTCCTGCTAGATTGCCATTGCTAATATCACTGATATTAGTGTTACTATTATTACTATTATTATTGTCCATCGTTCCCCATCTTCTTCATGTTCATCATCATCATTTAATAGTTGTTGCTACTGTTGTTGCCTTTGTCTCTGTCTCTGTCCTTCTCTCTTTACCCCTCTACACCCTTCTTCCTCTCTCTCTCTCTCTCTCTCTCTCTCACCCCAGCTGGTCGAGGCAGAAGACCACCCACCTAGAGCCGAAGGATCTGTCCTAGGTTTCTGCCTTTTAACAGGCAGTTTTTCCTTGCCCTTGTCGCCTAGTGCTTGCTCATGGTGGTACTGTTGGGTCTCTGTAAATAATGTTTTAAAGAGTTCGGTCTAGACCTGCTCTATTTGAAAAGTGTCCTGAGATAACTTCTGCTATGAAATGACGCTATACAAATAAAATTGAATTGAATTGAATTGAAAACACTACTACACTCAAAACTGTGGTTTAGAGGCAGAGCGGGTCGTCCACTTATCAGAAGGTTGTTGGTTTGATCCCCGGCTCCTCCCACCATCCTTGAGCAAGATACTGAATCCCAAATTGCTCCTGATGCGTTAGTTTCTGTCCGATGGGCTTTGCCATCACTGAGTGATAAGATAAGATATATACTTTATTGATCCCCTAGGGGGAATTCTTCTTTTCACTCTTTTTTATTCTTACACACACACACAGGCTGAAATACACACTTCACACTTGTGGCATTGCAACAGGGAGAGAGATGGTGGAGTGATGGGCTCGCCACGTTAGCGGGAGGTAAAACTGGCACCTCTCCAGCTACCAGTCCACACTCCATATTGTGGTCTGTGGGATTTGGATCCCAAGCCAAGTCCCTATACACTGAGTTACTGCCACCCCAACACTGAGCTACTGCCAACATATCCACTGACAACACTGAATTAACTCAGGTTTCTCACATTTAATTCATGCTCAAAGAGCTTTACTAAACATATAAATATATACTCATTCCTCAGACATTCACTCATATTCTACAAATACTTTTTCTTCCGTAATGTTGGAGTCCCCTCAATTAATATTCACTGAAAAACAGAGGACCATCCCTGTGGAACTATCTACTTCTACTACTGTCTTCTATCACTACAGTCAATATCTATATTATCTTTATTCAAAAAAAAATCTCAAAAGGTCTAATATATTTAATCTCAATATAACAGCTCTCCTTCTTGTTCTATTTCTTTTAAATTCTATTGTTGTTATACAGTATATATATTTATTGTGCATGTGCAAATACGCTGCTGTACAGGCAGTATTGTATGTGCAGCAGGTTCTGACCACATTACTGTATGAATGAAGGCTTTTTGCACAGCTGTAGCTCGATAAGAACCTCCATCTGAACACAGTGAACCGTGTTTCTCTCTGTTAATTTCCTCCAGCCACATAAACAGACTCAATCAGCCTCAGTCAAGTATACAGCGGCGGTGCTTGCTTTAGCTTATCCTGTAATGGATATCACCTCTGTTTAGACTGATGACATTTCCAGCCAGACCAACTCTGCTGCGTTTTAACACGCTGCTGCTAGAATCACATTAGGCACTTCTTTCTCTTTTTCTCTTCTGCAAGACGGCTGGAAGAGAACGATGTGTGAACTGAAACCTACAGTCACCCTGAAGGAGGTCTGGGATGGATTGTAGGCACTGAAAGACCAACCGTGAGCATGTTGTGAGGATATCTGCTGCAGGACTGCTCTTTGCTGGTCAGCGTCGAGGGAGTAGTTTCTGATGCTACTTTATAACGCAGTGTTCTGTCACTGATTTGGAAGAGAGCAGAAATACGTAAGCTTACCCTGCAAAAGCTCAAAGAAAAGAATGAAAAGAGATTCGCATGGATTAAAATACAGGTAATCAGGAAAGAAAGAGTGGTGACAAAAGAGAAAGGGAGGAAAAAAGAAGAATGGAGGATTAGAAAGAGAAAAAGAACAAACAAAAGTATGTATTGACCTTAAAATAATAGTAATGAAGGAACATTTTAAGAAATTTGAAGTTAAAAGAATGGAAGAAAGGAAAAAAAAAGGAATGGTGACAGATGAAAGTGGTCAAAAAGGAAAGAAAAAAACAAAACACAAAGAAGGGAATGAGGAAAGAAAAAATAGGAAATTCAATTTCAATTTCAATTCAATTCAATTCAATTTAATTTATTTGTATAGCGCCAAGCGGCTGTGGCTCAGAGGCAGAGCAGGTCATTCCTTAATCGGAAGGTTGTGGGTTCAATCCCCAGCTCCTGGTGCCACATGTCGAAGTATCCTTGAGCAAGATACTGAACCCCGAATTGCTCCCGATGCTGTGCATCCTGTATGAATGTTAGTTTCTGTTCGATGGACTTTGCCATCACTGAGTGAAAGTGTGTGAAAGGGTGAATGTGGCACGTAGTGTAAAAGTGCTTTGAGTGGTCGGAAGACTAGAAAGGCGCTATACAAGTACAGGTCCATTTACCATTTACCAATTCATAACAGAAGTTATCTCAGGACACTTTTCAAATAGAGCAGGTCTAGACCGAACTCTTTAAAACATTATTTACAGAGACCCAACAGTACCACCATGAGCAAGACCTTGGAGACAAGGGCAAGGAAAAACTGCCTGTTAAAAGGCAGAAACCTAGGACAGATCCTTCGGCTCGAGGTGGGTGGTCGTCTGTCTCGACCAGTTGGGGTGAGAGACAGAGAGAGAGAGAGAGACAGACAGACAGGTGCACAGCAACAACAGTATTGGCAATGGCAATCTAGCAGGATCTAACTATCAATCTAGAAATAACTATGGTGTGGTCAAAGTATTATTCATTAGAGTATTATAAATATAATTAAGTATACAAAGGTTATTACAAGCATACTTTTACATCTTTTGCTTTATTTAAAGAATATTTAAAATGCACTTTTATTGTAATTTTAGTGTACTTTATTGTGTATCATAAATTGTATGGTGTATTTTTAAAAAATATACTAAATTGCAGGTACTTATAGTGTTCATTTAGTGAACTCATGGAAAGTATAATTATTTTGCTTTGTGCAAACTAAAAATGTATTTCAGTTTCACGCCATTAGTTCATTAGAAATGTATTGAAGTATAAGGCAACAAAAAAGCATACATGTACTACGTAAAAGTGTACTTAGTACATTCTTTAACAAGTATAATTTAAGTAAATTTTTTTACAAGGGAGGGAAGAAAGAAGTAAAGTGAGTTAAGTAAAGAATGGAGGAAAGAAAGTAAATCAATAAAGAAAACAGGAGTAAGAGAGACAGGATGAAAGGAAGGAAAGAAAGAAAAAAACTGCATTAGTAAAATGAACAGCATACTCTTTATGCCTTTTTATAATACTTTATTTATGATAATCATCTTATTTCATCTCCAAATGACATTCACAGTTTAGTTACAGACTCCTATAGAAACCGGCTGTGTGTTCAGTGCAGGTTCACACACTCTAACCCTGCAGATGAGTCCTGCTGTCCTCCATCCTCTGACAACCTGCTGCACCGAGCTGTTTCACCTCATCAGCACGCAGGACATGACATCCAATTAAACACAAGTATCCTTACTGGAAAAGGCACTTCCTTTGTTTTCTAAAAGCGTGTACAGTCAGGGTAATTTTTTGCTTAACCACACAACCATCGGAGAGGTCTTCGAGCTGACCCGTTATCAGGATGTAATTGGGCTGCATTCAGAGTTCAACAGTGATGTGACATTGAGGGGTTTGGCAACATGATCATCGCACACACAGATTTCTGTTCATTCGGACATCAGCAGTGTCGGTTAGAGGCTCATACTGGCTCGAGCCTCGAATCTTTCTTATCACAACAAAGGCTGTAGTAGTGGGTTCTTCCTTCTTTTATACAGTTCAACCATTTTTGTATGTTTTTTACATGTACCATGCCTGTCTGTGCTCTTATCTAGAGTCAGATAAGAAGATCAGTATCAGTTTCACCTCTTCGTGGCCATTACAGAGTTAGGTCCAGTATGCCTAGCTTAGCATAAAGTATGAAAGCAGGGGGGCTGAGTACTAGCTACATCAAATATGTCTGATTTAGGCCCTACATAATGTAGCTTGGATCAGCAAGATCAGCCTTTCTTTGTTTTGTTTTTTGTGTGTTGAAGGTCTCTGCCACAGTGCAGGACACACTATGCATCCAGGTGTGGAAGCAAATAGGTTACAGGTGTAGTGTTTGTGTATCAGGAACCACAGCGAAGGGTTTGACACAATGAACGAGTTTATGACAGTGACATAAGATTTGAGACTGGATCATTTATGACAGATCCAGAATCAGTTTCCCACAATACATTATTGACATAATTAAAATCAGGCTGCTTCCAAATCAGCAATATCAAAACGATTTTACATTTGGCTTTTTTGAACAAATATCTTAACTACTGTAAAACACCTGACTGTGGTTGGTTATTTGCACAAATATAACCACTTTAGAGTCAGACGGAGTAAGAGCTAGGTTAGCAGTTTCCTCCCTGTTCTATTATTTGTGCTAAGCTAGGATAGCATGCCCTGGATCCGTGTACTTTCCACACAGAAATACACTGATCTGTTCATCTGACTCTGGGTAAGAATATTGGACTGTTTCTTTAATCCTGGTGTGCAGTGACTACACACAGATTCACTAGAGAATGTCCCCCATGTTAGCACAAAATCAACTGAAATGTTACAGGTACAAATGCATTTCAGTTAATACTGTACACTAGTGGTGCACATTAACAAACACTTACATTTACAATAAATCAAACTGCCAACACTGCCACACAGTGGTGGTCTGCTCCTGTTGATTTTTGTTTAGGTTGCTCACTATTATCAGTAGCTCAGTGTTTGTCTCCATTATTCCACACGTTGGTCGGGACACAGAGTGTCAATCATAGAACAGCAAGGATAAATGATCTATACAATTATGGATAAAGTCATAAGCCATGATAAGCTCCTAACATGTAAACCTTGGAATGACTGTGCTGACATGAACACCAATGGTACTTCATTTTGGGGAATATATTCTAGGATGTCCATCATTATGATGGAACAGTTAGACATGCATTCATTACAAATCAAACCAAAGTTGAAGTTTAACTGTAATTTAGAAATACCCGTCTCTGAAAAAGACGTCCTTCATCTTTAATTAAGCTACTAAAGCAACATTTGCTACACAAACAGAATGTTGTGTGCATGTTAACACATTCAGCAACAGCCTACCAAACACACCTTTCATCTCAGCCACCCGTCTCCTCTCACATACAATTTAAAAGTACAAGAATAAGAAAAATACTCTCCATATTTTACACGTTATAAAATGTTCTCTTACATAAAAACTTCTCCCGGTTAATGAAAAACTCTATTGTTTCATCATTTTACATTTATACTAAGTAACATACATTAAAATGAAAAAAATGCCATTGTGTTTTGTGTGTGCATTAAGCAGTTGTTGATATCAAATTTTGACAAAATATATTCAGTTTAGGTGCACTTGATTTATCTTTCCTGTCTGTTGGATAATAAATCAAGTGCTTTCCTTAAAACTCATCTAGCTGTTTGTTAGCTGGACTATATTACCTGCTGAGTGGATTTAACTTGATTTGGTGTTAAAGGTTTCATTTCCAAACCCAGCACATCATTTTCTAGATAACAATTCACATTTGAATTCTTACTGATACTTCATTTGTGGGGTAGGACTGGAATATAACTCTTCCCAAGTTAGATTAGCTTAGCACATAGCATATCTAAGTACAGGAAAGGATGAAGTTGAACGAGGTATATACTGTCAACGGTTCTGACTGAGGCTTGCTCAACTGTTATCGGAGCACAGAGCAAAAAGGGGTGGGACTGCTACAGGAAAATACAACCAATGAAAGCTTTCATTTGGACATGAATTAATGTGATTTTGTGTAATTTTATGGCTTAGCAGTGAAATACATGGAACAACAACAATTCAACTGTGATAGCTGTCTCATATAAATGGGTCCAACAGGGTGTGACAAGTGTTCACATCTCCAGTTAAGAAAGGGGTATCAGGTAAAATGTTTGATCTGTGTTTACCTTACTATTTAATGTCAAAATGGCTGCAGTGAAAAAGGTCAAATAGCCTGTAGCAGGAATGCTTAAAGCTGCAGTAGGTAACTTTTATAAAAATAACTTTTTGTCATATTTGCTGAAACTTTCACTATATCCTGACAGTAGCACATGAGACAGATAATTGTGAAAAAAACAGGTTCCTCTGGCTCCTCCCAGTGCTCCTAATGGCATTTAAAAGAATCCAGCCGGCCTGAACAAATCAACCAATCAGAGCTGAGAAATACAGCTGATAGTTGTTGAGTTTCGTTCTCAGGTTATCAAACACAGACGCTGGGAATGACACTCAACAATCAACTATCTTCAAGCCTCCAATCCAAAGTGTCTTTATATCTTTCTCGGCTCTGATTGGTTGTTTTCATACAGGTATGGTTGATTCTTAAAAATGCCATTAGGAGCACTAGGAGGAGCAGGGAGGACCACATTTTTTCACACATTATCTGTCTCAAAAAGTTATTTTTATAAAAGTTACCTACCAGTAAGCATGACTCCAGCCCTGTTTGAATCCCTGGTTAATAAGTGTGTATAATTTATTCATAACAGTTGCACTTAACAAATTAAAAGTCATAGTTCTTTCAGTGCATTAAATGGCTTTAGTATCTATAAGGTTTGCTTTAAGAATCAGGGTTTATTTCTACCTCCTCTGGGGCACAAGAACTGCCCTGAGCAGGATAAGACCAACATAGCACTGAAAGAGCATTTGGACTGTCAAGCAGGCTATGAAGCTCTGTATATTTCTATTAGGATATTGGGATTTCTGATGAATAATATACTATAGCATATAAAGTATATAAGTACTCAGGGCAGGCTGGAATCACCCAAGGCCAAGTTGTATGTAATATAGCTGATATTATTTTGTAAACATCATGTGACACTGATTCAGTCTGACAGACCGAAAATATTTGGGTGTAATTGGGAGCAGAAAGTGAAACAAGAGTGAAGAAAGAGCGCAGTGTGTGACTAAAGTCAGCCAACATTTCTGACTGTAAGGCAATACCCCCAGAGCTCCACAACAAAGAGCTGGTCTCACACACACAGGTTTATATGACCCAGATAAGAAAATAAAAACACTGCGTGTGCCTCTGTGTCCCATACTGCACTGCACTGTTCAAACATGACAGGAATTTCCTTATTTTGACCCCTACTCCCTGATGGTTGATAGTGTGTGTGTGTGTGCATGTGTGTCTGTACGTGATTGGAGTTTGTTTGGCTAGAGGGCAGGGTACTGATTATTACATTTAGTGTGAAAATCTTCATATAAAAAAAATCAGTGTACCTACATCCCCATCCTTTTATAGTTTCTGAAATTAGTTTAGAAATCAGAATAATGATATATTTGATTCACAGGAATTGTGTCTCCATAAATATCAGACTTTAAATGCTATATCTTTGACGAACAATATAGTAGAACTAACCACCTTTTTTCAGTAATGTGTGTTATGGAACCAAATGTCCCATTTCTCTTACATATTAAATATATATATTAAAAAAACAAAACAATATACAATTTTAAACCTTGAATTTAACCAATACGATGATTCATGATTATTGTTTGACAGCTGATTTTGTGAAAAAATAAAAATATTTTTTTAAGAAATCAAAAATAAAGTATTGCAAATATTAACCAGTTAATTGTTAACATGTTCTCTGTCCTGCTGTCCTATATGTACATATATTGAGTTGTTAATGATGTACAACACCATCAGGGCACTATTTCAGTGTTGCAATTGCAACAACCAGTGCAGAGACTGCGTGGGGGTCTGTACCTGCTGTTGTGGTTCATGTATTTGCAGCAGCACAAAGTGTAGACGGGCAGAGCGAAGGTGAATATAGATCAGAGGGTGTGGTGAATCATAAATACGCTCTTAACCAATCACAACACAGCTTTCATAGCTGTAATACAACTGAGCTCTGAGCAGCCTTTCTCAAATAAGAGGCTATCATACAGTATGAGTCCTGGGCCAGATGCATAAAACTACGATATGCACAGCCCAATGCACGCCTGATTCTGTTTATTAATCTCAATCACTGTGAAAACAAGCTTCAGTTCCACTCCCATAAATAAATATAGAAACACCCTTGGCTCCACAACTCATTAGACCTGTCAATGAGAGGGATGGCAAAGAAGAAAACGTGATGCATTTGGCAAAGTTCTCCAACAGTATCAGAACAGCTGTCTGTGGCTGTTTATTTCTCCCGTACCACTAATCTATCACAGGTACCTGTAAACCATCATCGGGGTAATATTTCAATCATTATTGTTAACGTCATAAGGATGATCAAGGACTAATCTATGCAGCTCACATTGAAACAAACTTTACAACGTGATTCACACTTCAGGATCATTAATGGGAGATGATGGTGAATAAAAGTAAAAAGATAAGATAAAATGTATCACTCATAAATAGGTTTATAAATGCACCTCTGATTAACATTGTACAGAACACCGTGTAGAATAAACATCATTCAACCTATATCTCATGTCCACCATTATGTTACCCGCAGTTAGTTCTTGAATACTTTGTGTTTGCCTGCTCTGAAGCATGCATGAGGTGCACACATTCTCACGGCACGTTCTTCTTTTATAAATACTACTTGGGAAAAGGTGGGAGAAGGCGTACGCATGCACTGTAATGCAATAAGTTATTTTAGCTAAAAAAAATTGTTGAAACAGATTTCATTGAAAATTGTAAGGAACACAAACTCATTTTTTTAAGTTAAAAAAGATTCTTGATTAAGCAGCTTTTTACTGGATATTTAAGTCAATACCACTACAATATTATATTATATGCCACAATATTACTAAAGCTACTTGATCAAGGATGTTGATTTAACTTATGAAAGTGAGTTAGTTTTACTTAAAATTGTTGATGGAAAAAATAAATAAACTCACAGTGTGGGTTTTGTGCATTTGCATTGCTTATACATCTGGCCCCTGCTGTCAGATGGTTACAGGGATTTCAGGAACTGAAGGAGAAACTGAAAGACTGTTTTTTTTATCAAAATACCAACAATTCACTTTGTGCTGCCTCATCTGAAGGAATCTCCCACCTGTGCACAAAATAGTCTGCTTTTTCTGGTTGTTGTGCTGCCAAGAACATAGAGCCCTCAGTGTTTTACATGATATTATTGTTTCATGGTCTTGTAGTCAGCTACTCTTGTTAGTGATGTTTCTGATTGATGCAACTGCAGGTTTTGTACTATGAAAAAGCAATTTCCGAATAGAGATGAGTTTCTTAAATATGTTGACATCAAACTGGCGTATGGCTTATACGGGAGCATTTTGCAATTATTTCTCAATCCTGTTGCTCTCTTTAAGCCCACACTGATCAGTTAATACATTATGGCATTCAAATCATTTCCTTAGGGTGAATATAAATATTTTTTTTGTGTACAGAACCTGACAGTTCAGCTCTATACGTTACCTCAGCCAGATGTAGCAGACATATAAAGAGTCAGTGTTGTTATGCCTGTAAATTGTGAAACTCATGATCCAGGGAGGAGGAATCTAGCCGGCCCCTACATCCTGTATCTCTGCGGTCCGTCCACTTTAAAAAGAAAAACTATCAGTGAATCAACAGGAAGATCCTTCAAAAGAGAAGGTGCTGCTGACAAAGAGCACAGCCATCTGTAGTTGTCATGGTTACAGCACTCTTGGTTATAACATTCTGTAGTCCACACTGTTACAGTGTAGTGTTGTCGTGGTTACAGTGTTATTATGTTGCCGTCCTCTCTCATGCTCTCTTGACTGCTACTAGATGTGTGGGCAGGGTTTCCATTGTGATTTGACATCGTCACAGAGGTGTCACTCAGGGTTGCTCCTACGCTATTGGGCAACGAGACACTCTGTGGGAGGGGCCTAACCACAGTGGAGTTGTGCGGCCTGTTGCTTGGTGAGTCTCTGTTGAGGTTACTGTTGTTACTATTGGTCACCCGTTGGGAGTCAAAGGGCGTCAGGCAGTCGTTCTCCAGAATGAGGTCCCCATCGTCGTCTTCATCATCACTATCGCCCTCTGCAATGCTGTTGCTGGGGTAACAGGACACAACAGGGTGAATGATGATTATAGAATTAATGTAGAAATTACAACAGAAATAAAAACATATGATACATTCTGCATTCATCTGTTTTTTACCCACTTTTTCCGCCTGAATTCAATAACCACTCTTATTTTAGCTCTTGTTTGGTCTCCACCAACTCCTGAGAAAAATATCTTTCTCTTTACCTACTAATTGCTACACTATATTCTCCAGCTAGTCTCTAACCGTGTCTGTCTGCTGCTGAGCAGGTATTGTACAGGGGGTTTATCAGACCTAAAAGGAGGTTTTAAGTGATTATGAAACAGTCTCAAGTTAATACTCGCTTGTAACATTTTTTCTACACTGTTGACATCAAAGCAGAAAGTGGGGTAAATGAGTTTTACATTTACGCTTCTTGAAAAGTGGAAGATTCATTAAAATGTTATTTCCACAGATTATTTCCACATAAATGCAAAATATGTTTCTGCCCACTATTTTCATTTTTTAAAACCTCAACCATACATATAATCTCTTTCTTCTCCTTCCCTTCTGCTGCTTGTGGCTATTTTTGTCATTATAATCCAGGGTCAGATTGGTCTCAGTGCTGTTCTAAAGGCTTCACAGCACCCTGGAATAGAATTCTGAGAAAACACTGACTTCAGTGCTTCAGTGAAGAAAACAGTCCCTCTGTCCTGTCCATGTCATACCTTGCGGTAATGGGGTTGCTCTGAGAGGCAGGGCTTGGTGAGTCATGTGATGGTGCCGAGCCGGTAGATCCAGCTGAGCCCACGGAACCAGAGTTGCCCATTGAGGTTTTACTCCCACGATGCACCACGTTGTTCCTCTGGTTAGCTGGCTTGACAGTCACAATGAGGTTGTGACTGTTGGCCACCATCATGTCTGTAACCTGAAATGATAGATGGAGAATTTTAGCTCTGGAGGAGGTGAAGACAACATCAAGGATTTGTCTCATATAGTCGCTGATTCAATACATAAATGGAAAGCCATTATGGGGACATATCTAAACTTTTGCTAAGGCTTGGCAGGTTACTAGTAGGTTAATGTTGGACACTGTTCAGCCTTTTCCACCAACAGAGAACCAGCATTGTTCCAGTTCATGCACCTAATTTTGATCCAATCGGAGCAAAAATAAATTAAATTAAAAAACCAAAAAGTATCAGATTTTCCTTGGCAACAAAAGTGGGTGTGTCATATTCTACAGGTCTCTGTGCATTGTGCAGCACCCTCTGTTGATGATGCATCTGATTACAATGGTTCCGCTCAAAACTGTTGGAAACACAGGCTGATTCACTAGATAGCAACAAGGTTCCAAGAACCCTAAATTGAACTGGTTCAAGAACCAGAACTAATTTGGTGGAATGACACTGTATGAATACCTGATCCAAAGATTTCCCTGCTACATCGATGCCGTTAACCTCGAGGATCTCGTCATTCACTCCCAGCAGCCCTGTACTTTCCGCCAGCCCACCACGTACCAGACGAGATATGAACACCCCTGGAACCTACAGGAGGAGAAGGAAGAAGAGAAGTGCCAAATGTTATGTCTCTCTGCAACATGTTTCACAACCTGAGAATGTAGATTTAATATTAACAAATCTATGAAACATTCAGCAGTCAGCATACCCAAATATTTATTAATATATCTTTTTTTTTTTTTCATGTTTTCTAGTATTGGTTTGGTTTCAACAACTTTTGTAGTCCTCACATTAACTAGAATGACTATCTTGTGATTGTATGCCTCTGCCATCCAGTCAAGTTATACTGCAAACTCTAAAGAAATTATATAAAATGTATGAAATGTATTTTTGGCTATATTAATGATACATGGTAAATGGACTGTACTTATATAGCACCTTTCTAGTCTTCTAATCTTGTATAGCTATACTAAATGTGCTAGGAATATAATACGTTGTAAGAATGGATGAGATGGAAAGATAAAAGCGAGTCAACATGTGTGAAATCTGGAATCAGCCAATTCATTCTTTAATTATGTCTAAACACCTATTTTGAGACTACAGTGACTTTTGACCTTTAAGTCATAAGGTCACCAATTCAGTGTCCAACCAGCTGTAAAATATATCTCCTCTTCTGTTCCTGAATTATGGTGTTGAATAACGACCAAAAACGTTACAGTAAAGTTGACCTTTGACCTTTGGATAAAACATGCCATGACTTCATAGGTATATCCTGTTAAACACCGGCTTGAATTTTTATTTTACAGCATTATTCTTGAGTTATGGATATTTTGTGAATTCTACTCATTGAATTCTTACATTGAATTCTAATCCGTTCATCCTTGAGTCTAAGTGCACATTTGTGTCAAATCAGAAGAAATTCCCTCAAGGTGTTCCTGAAATATTATTATTATTTGCAAGAATGCAACAACAACCTGAAAACATAATGGCCTTAACTATCATATGATAATGATAAATAAGTTTACTGTATGAACTGGAGCCCAAACGGTATAGGATTTTTGAGTGGAAAAATTCACAGATTACTGATGTCTATGCACTATACACTGTATAGAAAAGCTCAAAATCAAAACTTTAAGAGAAAAACAATTCGCAAACATTTCCCAAATATACCCTGAATTCGAATTACACAGAAACTCCCCTATTTACTGGGAGAAATGTCCAAAAGTCAAATTATTGCAGCAAAATATGTCTCCTCATGCCACGAACTGAGGACAACCAGTGGAAACTCAGATAAATGTATCAAATAATTTATTGTTTTAGTTGTTGTTTTTTTTTTTTTAATACACACACACACAGACACACACACTCTCACACACACACACATACACACACACAGACACACACACTCTCACACACACTCCCACACACTAAAAAAAAAAAAAAAAAACTTACAGTTTAATCTATCTATTTTATTTTAATTTTTATATATTTTAATATTATATATATTATATATTATATTTAATAATTTGTTATTAATATATATTGACAACAGACTACTTGTTTTAACTGTAGCCGGTTACTTTACTACTGTTTTAATGACATTTTTAGTTAACACAAACTGATTGATTGATTGATTCATTCATTGTAATTAATTACTTATTGACTGAGATTGATTGATTGTGACTGTGATTGTGATTGAGTTAATCATAGGTACAGTATGACCAACAGTATAGATTATAATTCATTTATTGTAAATATTGTTTTTCTTTATTGTTATTATTATTATTTTTAATTCCAAACGCTTGCTTTGGCAATATGTACAATGTTATGCCAATAAAGCCATTTGAATTGAATTGAAAATAATTAACACAAAAGCAAAACCATTATTTCCCAAATTTTTTGAGCAACTTTTAGGATTGTCTGACCAACAGTAATGATCCTGACTTGGTCACAGGTGGGAAGCTCTACAGTGAGAGCTGCAGCAATGACCCGACTTGGGTCTGACTATCGATCATTATATGATCATTGTCATTAGTTATCTCTAGTGCACAAACATGAGACTGTTGCCAGTAAAGGCAGCACAGGCAGAGATGGAGGAATCATTTGTCAGTCATCATCCTGACCTTCTTACCTAGTTACTAAGTTTGGCTGTACATCTGTGCTCTGTGTCGACTCCTTGAGCTCCCATTTGACAATAATGGTGCCTACTGTGAGAGTTTATTCCCTTCCCTTATTCAAAGATGTTACCACAGTGCTTTGGACAAGAATGGCAATATGATAATGGTCTGTATCTTCTTGTACAACATTTACTCATTAAATTGATTAACAACCACTAGACTAATGCTATATTTTGTTTAGTTGTGTACTTAAATTATGCCAGCTGTTTCTGTAATTTTATTTAGGAAACATTATGTTTCTTACTTCCCTCTAGTTGCTATAGCTTACGGGTTAACACGGCAGAATGTGAGAAGAAGACAATGACTGGAGTGGTGTGACCTTTCAGGACAGTTTTCCCAATAAAACGTATTAAAAATTCAGTACTGACTGTAGGGTCAGTGGCTAGGGATACGAATCGAGAGAACCGGTTTCTTTTGAGAACCGGTAACAAATTGTCCAATCTATCTGAAACGTATGCCTCCAAGCCGTGGCTTTTTTCCCCATAAAACAAACGTTTAATCTGACTGTCAAATACTGTAATATTTCCAAAGATGACAAAGTGAACAATAATAATACATAATCTGGCCTTCCCTTTTCTCTCTGCTTATGTGTTCTCTTCCTAAAGAGTGAATCTGTCCAGAAAATCTGAGAAAAGGTGTCTTCCTCACCAAAAGATAACAAAGTGAAGTTCGAATTGGGGTGTATCATGTTCAATTTATCATCAATTTAGAATGGTTAAGTAGAAATTAAATAATTTATCTTACCTTCTCCACACCCTGTGGTGTCACCCGTACGCTCACCCCATCACGGATGTAGAAGCCCAGTGGTTTGTGGGTACCGTGCTTGTGGAGTCGTACACGTCGGTGTGTCTCAGGTAGTATGTCCACGTCGATAATGGATGAGATCTGTCTGAAGTTCTGTGGCAGGCCAATCATAAGGCCCGGTTTGTTCTTCGAGTGGGTGGAGCCTGAGCCAGTGGTGCGCAGTCCGGTTAAGCCCAGACCCTTTTTACGCCTCTGGAGGGAGTTGGTGGCAAAAATGACAGGTTCATCCTCTTAAAGAAGACACACAGAGGGATGGAGAGAACAGTTAGTTTATGTGTGATGGTTTTATTAATGTTAATAATAATAGAGAATTTAACATTTAATTAAAACAATATTTCAAAGGTCTGGAAACTGCCACATTATATGTGCTTCCCTCTCCTTCATGCCATGTCTCCACGTAGTGGTGGCTATATTGTTTGGCGGCTGTGGCTCAGAGGCAGAGCGGGTTGTCCATTAATTGGAAGGTTGTTGTTTCAATCCCCGGCTCCTCCCGCCACATGTCGAAGTATCCTTGAGCAAGATACTGAACGTATGTGTATGAATGAGTTAGTTTCTGTTCCATTGGCTTTGCACTGAGTGAATGTGTGTGAAATAGCGAACGTGGCATGTAGTGTAAAAGTGCTTTGAGTAGTCGAAATGCGCAGTACAGATACAGTACAATTACCATTTAAACCAAATGCAATTTGAGTTTGACTTTTGACTGTTTGAAGTTGCTGTAGCTGATCAGTGTGGAATAGCAGGGTTGCAGATTGAGTTAGCAAAGTAAAGTCAGCAGCTATTAGTTGGTTTCCACAAAGAATGGGCAAAATATGTCTGTAGAACAGACGCCATTTTATGTTAAACACGTGAAGTAAAATAGATTGTTTGTTAAGATAATACATACACAGGATTTTCACTGGCCGATACCGATGCTGATATTTAGAGAGGAGGGCTGCCGATGGCCAATATATAATGCCAATATCAAAACCAAGATAATCAATGTACAATTCTATTCTATTCTATAGGAAATTCAGGCATGTGTTTACGGCAAGATGCTTAAAAGTTATAGTACAGCACTTGAAACTAATTTTTTTTCACCTTTCAAAAATTCACAACAGCACTAACATTGTTCCGTACAGTGCAGACGTCGGTTGATCCCTATTATCTCAAAATGCCAAATAATCGGGCCAAGTAATCGACTGAATGAAAAAAATCTATTTAAAAAAAAGAATTTTGTAAGAAACTGTCCAAACCGAAAACAGTCAGCGTTCCTGCAATTCTTAATACTCTCAACATAAAAGAAAAAATATATAATATTATTGCACATGTTCTAAAATCATCTTCAAGAATATTCTCTTATTAAAACACACTTCTGTCATTAATTACAGAGGATAAAAATATGGAGACCTTGTGTATGCCATTAATGTTTAGAGACATTGAAGACAAGTAATATATATCAGAGGTATGGAGTTATATTTTATTCTATTGAGTAGCCTACAATTAGTATTTGTACATGGGTACTTAAAATACTATATAAGGGGCTATCGAGTCCTGGGTACCAGTCCAGTCTCCTTGGATTTACATGCATATTGATATCTGCAGCACACTAATGAGAACTGTTGGGTCTGGTAAATAATGTTATAAGGAGTTCGGTCTAGACCTGCTCTATTTGAAAAGTGTCCTGAGATAACTTGGGATAAGTGGAATTCTGGTAACATTTCGGATTTTATGAACTTACTGGAAAGCACCAACTGGACAAGACAGACTGTGTGGAATATCTGCCTTACAAACAATGCAATACTTTGATAATACAACGAATTTGAGGAACCACGTGAACCATTTTTTCACTCTGAGTTAAGGTCTGCAACCATAAAGAAAAAAGGGAGTCGCTAATTAGCCAAGAATTGAGCAGGAAGTCAACTTTACCATCCAACTCTGAGAGAGGGGAGAGAATCACCCAATCTGTGGCAAACTTCTGTCTCAACTGACCCGTCTGTAACAATAACAGCAATAGTTTTTTTTATAGGAATATATAAAATTGAGGATGCAATACATAGAGAATTGCTGTGCATTTGAATGGTTGACAGGTGAATCGTAATCAAATTGGACTGTGAGGCCAGTGAAGATTCACAGCTCTAACATACAGCAGTTGAAATACGCAGATACTGTATTAATAATTAATGAATTAAAATAACAGGCAGTTGACTTTCAAACTGAAATCCACATTTTACAGAACTGATCAGAACCAGCGTTGTGTTTAGTGCAGGTTGTGGGAAAATACAGCAGGAGTGACCTCCCCGGGAGTGGGGAAAGACGGGGTTATTCGCATACTTGCCGAGCACCATTACAGGTTTATTTATGTAATCTAATCAAGTGGAACAGTGCATCTGAATATTTTTCTTCAGTTTTGTTTGGAGGAACGTTTATTCAATTCAGTCTGAAAATATTATTCTCTGTGTCAAATTTCATACCTGGATCCATTATTACTCTGACTGTGTGTGTGTGTGTGTGTGAGTGGAATTTATAAATATTTGTATTACAATATTCATATCATTTTCACACCATGTGCATACATCTCTTTCCTCTATGTCCTTTTGTTTATTTTACATACATACTGAAACTTTCTCTCTACCAATGATCAGCTGACAGTACGACTTCACTAAAAAGATATTAAAGATATAATAATATTCCTGACTTCTTCCTCTACTACTAATCCCACTACTTCGACTCCTTAAAAAACCAAAGTGTAACTACTCTTATTACCACTAGTGCAATTACTGCTAACTTTATCTGCAAACAATTCCTGAAATACTAGGATAACTAAATGTGAAGCTACATATAGTAAAACTAGTCATTAAAATACAGCAAACTGTTCAATAAATACTAATGTACTACTGAACATTAAGATTAATCTGGATTTTTTTTTTTTTTGATAAATAAAGGAACCAGGGCGATGCTAATTGGACTACAAAAATCTATTTTTTCTGCAGCATTTTGCCATGATCATACTGTCATCACTGGAATGGAATGGGAAACATCTCTGCAGGAAGTCTAATTGATTGAAAAAATAAGGCAAAGTGGAAGCCATTAGAAATAATTAGTGAAATAAAACAGTATTTCTCTTAACAAACAAAACTGCAGAGCAGACTAAAATATGACATGATAAAGGAAACATGGAATGTTTGTGTTGTGTTGAGGTTGGTTGGTTCCCTCTGTAGTTGAAGTAAATAAAGCAGTTTTGGACTGACCTGAACCAAAAATAAATAAATAAAAAATGTAAAGTTAAAGTAAATTACACTGTGCAAAAAATATAATGCAAATATTTATCACAACAAATGAATAACAAAATCACTCATTAATTACAGTAGCATACAGTGCCCGTCCTACAGCAGCATATTTGGCCCAAAACCTGTCCCAAACCTGGCAGGCTGTGTCGGGTCCAGTCGGGTTCGGGTAGAGAATCCAAGCTCTTCTTTTAATGTTAGTTGGGCGAAGGATTTCATTTATGACAGGGGAAAACAAATCAAATACCTTTATGATAGTAATTTAAGCATGTGAAAGCGTTTAATCACACTTCTGTGTGTTGAATAGGCAGGATGACGGGGTCAGATTGAAAGGTTAAAAGTGTTTTTCTATTCCAGATGTGATCCATTCAAACACTGATTTCTGGCTGGGCATATATGTAGATTTATAAATATATATAAATATATATATGAATATATATGTATATAGTAAAAGCAATAACAACACAGTTAAAAAGCATATTTTCATGAACAAACAGGATTATCAAAGCCAAACCCACTGAGGCTGAGAATATGCAGCACAACTGCACTTGACAAATTCAAAAGAAAGTCCAGGCCTTTTTTAGTCCCTACAAAGTTTGATTTCCTTCATGAACACTTCTTGGAAGCAACACAACACTTTTCTCTGGAGGCAATGTGCCAATGTTTAGACTCAGTGACAGGTCTTCAATCTTAGTCTTGGGTTGACAACTTCGTGAAGCTCTGTGCCAAATAACTGATGGTTTTGTTTCGGCTTTGAATGTCACCAAGCAGAATATGGCAGCCACACCTTTTCTGTTTTCAGCATGTCTTGTTTCTGCCTCTATCTGGCAATAATAACAGAGTTGCTGTCCACCATTCTTAATCAGATTATATTCCATCCTTACTAGATCTCAACCTACTGAACACCTAAGAGTTTTGAGTGTGGGGTGTTCACCACCATCATCTAAACAGAAAATGAGGGGACATTTTTTGGAAGAATGCTGTTCATCCCTCCAGTAGAGTACCTCAACGACAATCTATGATTTGGTCATCCTGGAGTCATAGTCCTAGTCAGAGTCGGCTATTTAGTGCTCTGCCTCCCTCGGAAACACAAAGAGATGTCCTCACTTGTCCATTTCAATCACAAATTAAAAAAAAATCTTTATGAGAACGACTTGCAGTGATTAAATTCAATTCAATTCAATTTTATTTGTATAGCGCCAATTCATAACAGAAGTTATCTCAGGACACTTTTCAAATAGAGCAGGTCTAGACCGAACTCCTTATAACATTATTTACAGAGACCCAACAGTACCACCATGAGCAAGACCTTGGCTACAAGGGCAAGGAAAAACTGCCTGTTAAAAGGCAGAAACCTAGGACAGATCCTTCGGCTCTAGGTGGGTGGTCGTCTGTCTCGAACAGTTGGGGAGAGGAGAGAGAGAGAGAGAGAGAGAGAGAGAGAGAGAGAGAGAGAGAGAGAGTCCCCTATGTCAGTTGGTACTGAGGCTAACTGCCCCCTCTCAGACACACTCTGACCAGCCTCACAACAACACTGCTCTACAAACTGTAATCAGAGTAAAGCAGATTATAGCACAATGTAAAGAAAGCTATCTGGACCATTGGGAAGAAACAACTAAAAGCCAAAGTAGATTGGAATGTTATCTTGCCCTTAAAAGAGATTATGAATAAGCAGAATATCTCTCTACTGTCAGAGATAGAAAGCAGAGACAGATCCTAACCAAGTACAGGCTCAGTGACCACAAACTGGCAATCGAAACAGGAAGACACAGAAAATCATGGCAACCAAAAGAAAACAGAAAATGTGGTCACTGTTCGACAGGTGAGGTTGAGACAGAGATGCACTTTCAAATTTAAATGATACGAGAAAAATGTATTTGAACAAGTTCAGCACACAAGTTCACACACAGACACACACACACACACACACACACTGTATATAACTAATATAATGTTCATAATGTATA